TCCTCTTTGTATCAGCTTTCTCTCTGCATTTCTGTTAAAGTAAAGTTTCATACTTTTGGACTTTAGGTTCTTATAGCCAAATTTGGAGCATAATTGAGCATAATTTTGACTCTTGGTCATTTTGCCCAGCATCCAGTACCAGTAACTTTTCCTGCAAGTATGTTACTGATTATGTGGATATGCTACACATGTTTTGATAACAAATCCTAATATATGTATTACAATTAATTTAAGAAATGGAATTTGTGATTCACAGTTTTGGCTCAAGCACTGTTAATTGTTTTTCAGAGGCAAGCCACTTTGGTCAAGCATGATTACTAAGTGAGCCATTCACATCTGTATTTCACATATATGTAAAATTGTAACTTATAAAGATGAGCGTTAGAGGTAGTCTGCTTCACCTCACTACCCAATTGTAATTAATCAAAATAGCAGGGAACTGAGAGTTTCAAAAGTATATCTGACTGAACTGCAACACAAATTTCTGTCTTTGTAAGTTAATAATCTGTGTGATATAGAAATCATCTACATCAGTTGTGCTCCCATATTACAATCTCAATCAGGAAAGTCATCTCTTTCTTGACAAGTCTCGGTGGTGTCCACCATGTAAAGACACTTTGATAGATGCATTGCACGGCAAAACCATTTACTCTGGGTATTTTTGGTCAAGCAAGTTAATGTATGGTATGATGAATAGATAGCAAATTTTATATTCTCATCATTTTAAGGTTTTAGTTACAGTGCTTGGTATTGTAGCAGAAGTGGAGTGGAGAATTGAGGGTTCATGATCAGGCCTTCCTGCAGTGATCAGTGATGGGCTTATTTTAGATTGCTTCTTTCAGTTCCTTTCCACCAACTGAAGAGTTGAGAGCCACAAGTGGCTCACAAGCTACAATGAAGTCTCCAGGCCTATTTTCATTTAATGCTCTCTTCCTGATTTGTCTTTCCTCAAATCTCAGAAATTCCTTGTCAGTTAGGTTGAATTGCTGTATTAACTCTAGAATGCAAATCTTGTATAAAAGTAGAACTGTAAATGTACAACTATATCAGAAATTGAATAGAATATAGAAGTAATAATATGTGATAGTGACATTGGATTATGATCCAATATATAACCTGATAGTAGTAGTAAAGTTCGGCAAAATATCCTAGGGGGACACGCCCACCTTCCAAACCTCCTACCAGGTGCATATCTGGGACCTTATCCCCTAGGGTATTTATTACACCAGAATTCTTGCTTTTGGAAATAGAATTTTCACACACTTTAGGGTACTGTAGTCCTTAATATGATAGGATGCAAATAATGTATAGTATAGTATTTTCTTTTGAATTTTATATAAGTTCAGGTATATCCACCACTAGATTTCACAGTTTGTTCATTTCTAAATGAGGGATGAAATGACAGGTGTTATAGATAATGCCAGTTGATTTGTGTTAGACAAGTTACATTCAGCATGCATCAACATTACAGTTGAGTAAGGTTTTGTCCTAACAATAATTGTAAAATGTTTATAAAAAGTGTTTGAGAATGTTAACTCAATGCTGCCAGGAAAATGATTTTTTTTTTATTTTTATTGTGAAATATCTTTGCACATAGATGGCTCTGCTAGTGCTTAGCCACAAAAGAGTCAATTAGTAGACCTTGTGACCTTACCTGATTTCACTTTTCCTTGAATTGTCGGGATTTTTTTTTTTTTACTAATGCTATGAATATCAGTGGTGTTATTTTTATAATATACATTATAATTACTATAATGTTATAGACATCAGTAACAGCAATATAAAATAATGTAAAAAAAAAGTTAAAAATCAAGGAAAAGGGTAAACAGGCAAGACAGGCAGTACTTGTAATTGGCTCATTGGTGAATTAGACAAGTGTAGCCATCTCTGTATTAAAACTATTAATAAAGTAACCTCAAAGTGGACGTGATGTGTATGTACATGCCATGCCCACTGGATTTAGGTTAAATTCATAGTAACTTACATAGGGGTACACATCACCATCTGTGAATTTCCAAGTATTTTGACATTTGTGATAATGATATTTGCAGACACCACAATCATTACAGTCCCAGTTTTACTAACAAAGCTGTTATCTAGGAACACTAGCCTATAAGCCTCTAATAATTTCTTTCTTTATTTATTTATTTTGTGTGTGTGCTTGTGCTTGTGCGTGTGCATGTGCATCTGCATGTGCATGTGCATGTGCATGTACGTGCACATGTGTGTGTGTGTGTGTGTGTGTGTGTGTGTGTGTGTGTGTGTGTGTGTGTGTGTGTGTGTGTGTGTGTGTGTGTGTGTGTGTGTGTGCACATGTGTGTTTGTGTATGTTAATGTGAAGGTTAATTTTATCTAACTTCAAATATGCAGTATATTTTACCATGAGTTATTGTCCTGATGTGCCAAATCAGATTTATTCGCCAATACTGCAATAGGCTCATGAAATGGAGGAGGAGAAAAGTATGAGAGGCACTGAGTGCTCTCAGTAGCAAGGGATATT